AATACAGTTTCTTTCATGTTGTTGGGTGGAGCCCCCCACCATAAAACATAATATACATTGGCTTCTTCCGTAACCTTGTAAATTTTAGCTACTGGTTATGAATTCGTAAAGTAAAATAATCTGATAATGCAAGGGAGTTTTTTTCATTGTTTCAAATTGAACAATAATTTAAAACCATTAGGGATTAATCCCCAAAAACCAAAATGTAATTATATATGTGTTTTTCCGATGGTCTTAGGCGACCCCCCGTGAAAAAGATCGTTCGTCCCCCGAAGGGGGTCGCCTCCCACAGCTTGAGAACCGCTGGTGTAGGGTCTTTCTAGGCCCCAGGCCTTCATGGAAGAAATGAGGGAACAGGCAGAAGGAGCCAAGCAAAAGGCTTCCTTTTGGTTGCAGAGCCATGAAGTCATTTGCAAGCTCTCCTTTCTTCCCTGCCCCTTCCGCTGCAGGTTTTCTTTTGTCTTGATTTATTTATTTTTTTTTTTTTGGAGGGAGAGAGAGAGAGACATCAATTTGTTGGTCTACTTATCTATGCATTCAGTGGTTGCTTTTTTTTTTTTCCCCGCCTAGGGATCGAACCTGAAACCTTGGCATATCGGGACCACACTCTAACCAACTGGCCAGGGTTACATGGCGGCATTTTTTTTTCTTTCTAGTGCATAAACCCCCTCCCTTCTTCAGGCAGAATAGCCAGGTTATGGGGAGTGGAGAGCAGATTAAGGTTGCTAGTCTACTAAACAATGGACAAGAGATAACCTGTAATCACCCACAGAAAAGATACATGAGCACAAGCAAGAGACAGGAAGATTTTCTAAAATTCCTGCCAAGAAGCTGAGCTAAAGAAAGACAAAGGGGATGTAGAGAAAGACATGCATAGATTGAGGGAAAGCCGGGAAGAAAGGATTCACTGCATAGAAGAGACAGAGGCAATAGGAAACGGAGTGAGGGACAGAGGGTCCTTGACAGAAATATCGAGAAAGACTGTTATAGAAGCTTGAGATAAACCGAAATCGGAGAATTGGTAAAATGCTCACAAGCAAAGAGAACGATAAAAATAAAGAAAGGCTGACAGGAAGGAACCCCAAGGGTGGAAGGCACAGATAGGGCCTAGGCAGTGATTTAGTGAGAGTGAGTGACAAGGAGGAGCAACCAGGCTCCGGAGAGACGGGGTAACCGTGGCAGCTGAGAGAGGAGCAGAGTGAGAGGAGAGAGAGGGGGAAAGAGATGAGGGGGGCTTGTCAGGGGAGCTGAGAGGCAGAAGAGCGGAAGGTGGAGGAGGCAGGCAGTGAAAAGATTTATTGACAGAAAAAGAAGGCAGGAAATATGTGGTGTTGGAGACGAGCAGAAAGACAAAGGACAAGCAGCTACAGTGCAAAACAAAGACAGACTGACAGGGCCTGATAGGCAGAGACCCGGAGAAAATGAGCAAAAGTCAGAATCAGGGAAGCGCACTGAGATAGAAGAATAGGCATAGAGACGGTGGAGAATCGCAGGGAGAACATGGGTAGGGGTGCAGGATTAAATAAACACCCACAGGAAGGAACAAGGGAACGCACATGGAGACAGAGAGAAAAATACATAATAGAGATTAAGGGGGAAATGCGAGAGGGGGGTTGTGAGAGATCCCTATCAGAGAGTCGTTCCACTGAGGCTCAAAGGAGAAAAAAATAACAGGCTGAGGAGCAACTGTCACAGTCGGAAGCAGACACAGGCAGAAAATGAGAGCAGAGGGTGTCAATGTAATCAGACTAAAACTGGAGAGGCAAAGGTATAGAAGCTGAGGTAGAAAAACAAAGTAATACCTTAACCGGTTTGGCTCGGTGGATAGAGCATTGGCCTGCGGACTGAAGGGTCCCAGGTTCGATTCCGGTCAAGGGCATGTACCTTGGTTGCGGGCACAACCCCAGTAGGGGGTGTGCAGGAGGCAGCTGATCGAGGTTTCTCTCTCATCAATGTTTCTAACTCTATATCCCTCTCCCTTCCTCTCTGTAAAAATCAATAAAATATATTTAAAAAGAAAAACAAAGTAAAATCCTGTAGTTGTGTCTTCAAAACTCTAAACGGGGCGCCTTGGTTAACAAAAACATTGCCCTTACGTTTAAAAACAGAAAACCACGGAATATGACATACTTCGGGAGTACGTCATAAATTCATGCTCCAAGTGAGCACCCTCTTTGGTAAGATTTTAATAATATCTTTCAAGGGTGCCCAAGAACTAGACTGTCAGGGAAATCCGGCTGTTTCTGTGGTTCACTAGTAAAACCCATACAGGAAGGGTGAGATTAGCTACTGGTGGGGCTAGACATGAGTGGATACCTGAAGATTTTGGGATCACACACACATTTCCATCGTGGCGACCCAGCGAAGCTTTAAGAAGGCAGAACTGGATTGTGATTATAATGGACTAAGTGACATCTCATCAACTAGAGCAGCTATAGATAGTGGGACCAGATACAGATGATGGGAATCGGAGAGGCCTGGCCAATTAGGACCCCGGAAAAGAGAAGCTAGAAAGTGCAGAGGCTGACAGATGCTACATTTGGTGCAATGAGTTGGGTCATGGAAATGCTCTGTCAGACCTCGCCATGGCTCAGTAAGGTGGTCCTCAAGACGGACTCCATGCCTACCAAGCTACTTGCTGGTGAGTTATTTATTTTCTAGCAAAGGGGAGGGGGCTTTCCTGGATGGGGGAACATTGATATTTTATGGGACATTATCCTGATCATAAATTAATAAATTGTTAGGCAAATAATTACATCAGTCTTTTGTGAGTGTGGTTACATTGAGTCACTTTTTTTTTTTTTTTTGCTCCATTGATTTCCTGATATATAATGCAATGCTGGATTGTTGAAACTTTGCCGTGGGATGATTTCTTGGCACTAACTTTATGACCTACAAAGCTCTAACATGTTCTAAGATCCTCTACTATCAAAAAGCAAACCTGCCTGCCCTGGCTGGTTTGGCTCAGTGGATAGACCGTCAGCCTGCAGACTGAAGGGTCCCAGGTTCCATTCTGGTCAAGGGCACATGCCCAGGTTGCAGGTTTGATCCCCGGTAGGGGGGTGTGCAGGAGGCTGCCGATCAATGATTCTCTCTCATCATTGATGTTTCTATCTCCCTCTCCTTTCCTCTCTGAAATATATATATGAAATCCTTAAAAAAAAAAAAAAAGGGCAAACCCGCTCAATCAACTGAGCTACACTGGTGGCCAGGGCTCATCCCAGTTTTTAAATGAGTAAACTAAGGTAACTTATTCATGGTTACCTAGCCCAGTTAGTGACATGGCCTGAATTCAATACACACACACACACACACACACACACACACAGTGTCACATACATTTTTGATAGCTCAATTGATGCTTCTTTCTTTTCAGATTTAACCCACTGGAATTAATAATTATTCAAAGTGTATATACATTTTTTTTATATTTTTATTGATTTCAGAGATGAAGGGAGAGGGAGAGGGAGAGATAGAAACATCAATGATGAGAGAGAATCATTGATCAGCTGCCTCCTGCACTCCCCCTACTGGAGATTGAGCCCAAAACCCAGGCATGTGCCCTAACTGAGAATGGAACCGTGATCTCCTGGTTCATGGGTCAATGCTCAACCACAGAGCAACACTGGCCGGGCATGTATACATTTTTGGGGACACCAGTATATTTTTCTGTTATACCATCTGTGTCCAACATCTGCTACATTTGCCTGCCCAGCAGTGTAGAGATTTTCTTTTGAAAACCACTCCTCCCTCAATGGGCACGTGACCCAGGCCTAGCCAATCATAACACCATATCCTCTTTTCCTGAAAGAGTTTATGAGCCTCAGCACCATGACTTCCAGAACCTTTGGAAGAGGCACTATGTGTGCTAACATTGCTAAGCCAGCAGGCTGTAAGAGGTCTTCTCTGAGCACGAAGCCAACACAATCACACACACAAAGGACTCAGAAAGACAGAGATATCTAGCATCATGTGAGTCTCTGCTCAGGCTCGGCCTGAAGCCAGAACTTGCCCTGGACCATTCAGTTACACAAACCAAAAAACTCCTGGATTTGCTCACGTGAATATGAGTTGAGGTTTCTTCACTTTTAACAATGAGTCTTTATTAATATGCCACCTCCAAGATTATCCAGTCTTCCAGTTCAATGTGCAGAAAACTGAAGCCTACAACAGTTGCGATTTATCCAAGCACACCCAGCTAGTTTATGGCACGGCCAGAATTCGAATCTCAGTCTTTGATTTCCTTCTTATACACGATTTTACCTCTTTCTTGATAGAAAGGTTGAGGAGTGGAGAAGATAAGACCTTGCTGACAACTGCAGATCAATCAAGCCAGACGAATTGCCTCTGAAGTGGTATTTATAAGTCAGGATGCTTCAGTTTGAAAGCCAGACTTCTATTCACCGAGTATTGATTTCTGCGCTTTTCAGGAATGCAGTGACTGTTTAGGACAGAGGTCCATTTCCGCTTTCCCCGCAGTCATGAGCACCACTTAACTCCGTGTTGTGAGGACATTCTTTCCCTGCCTTTAACCTGGTGGGAGGCAACCTTCACTTGCCACATCTTCTGTAGGAACTGAACACAGAAGCGACTCAGACTGAGCTAAGGATGCAAGCCATGCGGGCTTTAGGAGTAGGAGAATGGGAGTTCGATCCCAGTGGGATACGAGGATCCCTGCAAAGGGCTCTCTGCCTACCTCCACCCAACCCTCCCAGAAAACAGACTTGGGTAGTAGCTGACATTCCAGGGATAGTAAGTGACTTCTTTGGGTTACGCTTTGCCCCTTCACTCTGGCCTGCCTGCTCGTGCCCTTGAGAGGACTCCTTCACCTCCTTGAACTGCTCTGATTGGTATTGTTAAACCCGGGGGCTCAGAGACTGGCACAGTGGCTCTC